TCACTGGAAAAGTTCTGGTTCAAATAAGGAAAACGCTCATAGTTGAGGGTGGGGGTGGGGTGGAGAGGGGATGGAAACACTTTCCCCCCTGTGTAGTTTACCTTTCCACTCTAAGTCAGAGCAAACAATCCTATGACTCCGATGACTGTAAGTGACTCTGGCCTCTCTGTGGGTGGATCATTTTATGCCTATTGAACCATCCTGCTGCACCTGCCCTAAATCAACAACAAAAACCCCCACATAGCACCACCTTCCACGTCTGCTAGCCCAAGCCCCGGCAGCAACAGTGATAACACCGGCAAGCAGGGGCAGGCTCCTCACTAAGCTGTGTTTGCTCACACTCTTCAGCATAACTATTCAAACACCTGGAGATGCCAGGAGCTTTCCACAACCCACAATGAGGATGCACACAAATAATACACCCAAAGGGATGCCTGTTAAGGATTTCTTTTTCTGTTGCCTTCTTCTAAGGCAGGAAAAACCATCTCAACAAACAGGAACATTTGAATGCGGGGATAGCACTCAAGCGCTGTAGTTAGCTTGAGGTACATTCTCATGGACACACAGCAGACACATCTATGTTTTAGGACACTCTGGCAATCTTACCGTCTAAGGGAGACACCGAGTGCTGGCTACCGTGACACAGTTTGCCGTTTTAGCTTTCAGAATCATGCCAAAACCAATGTGTCAGATAAAAAGACGGCAGAATAAGTGATAGTGGTTTTTTTTTGTTATGTTTTCACATGTTCAAAATAGACACTTTGATGTTTTAGATAACCGAACTGCCTTTAATTCCCCAGGCTGAGATCTCTCTTGCCTTCCGGCTTTCACATATGCAGGCCTCTCCACCTGGGTGTCCTCCTGCTCACAGTAAATGCACTTCTCATCTCTCTTAGTCAACATCTATTTACACATTTCGAGACACCGAGTTCTTTCCAGAAGTCTTCCTTGACCTCGGCAACTTGGAGCGCTTGCTTGGGCTTTGGTGGTTTCATTCTTCAAACAATGCCTTCAAGGTTGTTTTCAGCACAAAATGCTTATTACCAGCTCACAGTTCAGGACGTATGATGTAATGAGTGTCTGTTCCGAACGCTAACTGCCCAATTCATTTTGTGTGTGTGTCTGCATACGGATACACAAGGACGTGAGTCCATATGGAGGCCAGAGACTGATACTGGGTATCCTCCTCAATTTCTGCTCTGCCTTACACAGAATCTCTTACTGAACCCAGGCTGGCCGCCAGCAAACCCCCTGATTCCCACGACAGCTGGGATTACAGGTGTGCATTGTTGAATTCATCCTCTCCTTTTTCTTTCCAATTATTTATTTTATTATTTTTACTCTACTGCATTGATGTTTTGTTCACATGGCTGGCTTTGCTTTCTGAAGCCTCAAGCAAGCTTTAATAAATCATAAATAATTATCACCACAGAATGAGATGAGTATGCAATTTCATATATAGTTTTAAAAAAGATTTTCCTTCATCTGGTTTGGTCAAAAGCTTTCTGAACAATGCTAACGATAAAGGGGACTAAAGAAGTTACTGCACCTTTGAGTTTCTCAGACATCTATAGAACATTCCATCCAAACACAAAAGAATATACCTTCTCAGTGCCACATGGAACCTTCTCTAAAATTGACCACATCCTCAGCAACATATGAAACCTCAACAGGTACAAAAAAATTGAAAATATAACAATGTGCGATTGCACCTTTCCTGGGTCAAGGAAGAAATAAAGCAATTAAAGACTTCCTAGAATTCAATGAAAATGAAGACACAACATACCCAAACTTATAGAACACTTTGAAAGCAGTACTAAGAGGAAAGTTCATAGAACAAAGTGCCCACAGGAAGAAACTGGAGAATAGTCACACTAGAGAATTAACAGCACAACTGAAAGCTCTAGAACAAAAAGAAGCAAACGCACCCTTTTCAGTAGCCACAAACAACATAAAATATCTTGGGGTAATGCTAACCAAACAAGTGAAAGATCTGCATATCAAGAACTTTGAGTCCTTAAAGAAAGAAATTATAGAAGATACCAGAAAATGGAAAGATCTTTCATGCTCTTGGATAAGTAGAATCAACATAGCAAAAATGGCAATCTTGCCAAAAGCAATCTACAGATTCAATGCAATCCCCATCAAAATCCCAGCACAATTCTTCACAGAGCTTGAAAGAACAATACCGAATTTTATATGGAAAAATAAAAGACCCAGGATAGCTAAAACAACCCTGTACAATAAAGGAACTTCAGGAGGCCATCACCATCCCTGACTTCAAGCTCTATTATCGAGCTATAGTCCTTTAAACAGCTTGGTATTCGCACAAAAATAGACAGGCACACCAACAGAATCTAATTGAAAACCCTGATATGGATCCACATACCTACAAACACCTGATTTTGACAAAGAAGCTTCTGCAAGGCAAAGGACACAGTCAACAAGACAAAAAGGCAGTTCACAGAATGGGAAAAGATATTCACTAACCCCATATCTGACAGAGGGCTGATCTCCAAAATTTACAAAGAACTCAAGAAGCAAGTCTCCAAAACATCAAAGGACCCAATTAAAAAGTAGGGTACAGAACTAAATAGAGAATTCTTAGTAGAGGAGTCTAAAATGTCTGAAAGACACATAAGAAAGTGTTCAACATCCTTAGCCATTATGGAAATACAAATCAAAACAACTCTGAGATACCATCTTACTCCTGTCAGAATGTCTAAAATCAAAAACACCAATGACAATTTATGCTGGAAAGGATGTGGAGAAAGGGGCACACTCCTCCACTGCTGGTGAGAGTTTCAACTAGCACAGTCACTTTGGAAATCAGTATGGAGATTCCTCAGGAAAATGAGAATCAGTCTACCACAAGACTCAGCAATTCCACACTTAGGCATATACCCAAAAGATGTACATTCATACCACAAGGACATCTGTTCAACCATGTTCATAGCAGCATTATTTGTAATAGCAAGAACCTGGAAGCAACCTAGATGCACCTCAACTGAAGAATGAATAGAGAAAATGTGGTACATTTACACAATGCAGTACTACTCAGCAGAAAAGAAACAATGGAATCTTAAAATTTGCAGGTAAATGGATGGAACTAGAAGAAACTATCCTGAGGAAGGTAACCCAGTCACAAAAAGACAAACATGGTAGGTACTCACTCGTATATGGATATTAGACATAGAGCAAAGGATTACCAGCCTACAACCCACACCGCCAGAGAAGCTAGGTAACAAGGAGGACCCTAAGAGAGACATACATGGTTCCCTGGAGAAGGCGAAATGGACAAGATCTCCTGAGCAAATTGGGAGCATGGGAGTGGGGGAGAGGGAGCTAGGAGAAAGAGAAGGGGAGAGAAGGACATGAGAGAGCAGGAAGGTTGAGTCAGAGGAAGAATTGAGGAGAGCAAGAAAAAAGATACCATAACAGAGGGAGCTATTACAGGTTTAAAGAGAAATCTGGCTCGAGGGAACTGTCCAGAGATCTACAAGGATGACCCCAACTAACACTCTTAGCAATAGTGGAGAGGCTACCTTAAATGCCTTTCCCTGATAATGAGATTGATGTCTACTTTATATGCCATCCTAGAGCCTTCATCCCGTAGCTGATGGAAGCAGAGGCAGACACCCACAGCTAAACACAGAGCTGAACTCCTGGAATCCAGTTGCAGAGAGGGAGGAGTGATGAGCAAAGGGTTCAAGACCAGACTGGTGAAACCCACAAAAACAGCTGACCTGAACAAGGGGGAGCTCATGGACCCCAGATTAATAGCTGGGAAACCAGCATAGGACTGATCCAGACCTCCTGAATGTGGGTATCAGTGAGGAGGCCTCGGCAATCTATGGGACCTCTGGTGGTAGATCAGTATTTATCCCTAGCAAAAGAATGGACTTTGGAAACCCATTCCATATAGAGGGACACTATCTCAGGATAGACACACAGGGGAGTACTAGGCCCTGCTCCAAATGTTATGACAGACTTTGAAGATCCCCCATGGAAGGCTTAACCCTCCCTGGGAAGCAGAAAGGCGATGAGATAGGGAGTCAGAGGCAGGCAGGGAAGGAGGGGAGAGAGGGGGAACTGGGATTAACATGTAAAACAAGCTTATTTCTAATTTAAATAAAAAGAATAGAAAAAAAAAGAAGTTACTGCAGTATGATGTTCACTTAGTGACTTATCAAAGAACTACTCTGGGGACCACTGCTCTCAGTCTGATGTGGCAGCCTATGAAAGACGTAAGTAAACAAGGGTAAGTAAAAGGTGCTGCCACTGAGAGTTACACCTGAGTTTTATCCCTTGAACCCACACGGTGCAAAGAAATGGCCCCCAAAGTTGTCCTCTGACCTACTGCTTATATAACACACTAAATTAATAAGTGTAATGAAATATGAGAAATAAGTAAGCAAATAAAATGAATATGTTAACTTCTCATGTTTCTTGATCCTCAACTCAACACAGAAACCAGATCACACAGGTGATGGACAGTGAGTATGGGGTCCCTTCAGATCACACAGGTGACGGACAGTGAGTATGGGGTCCCTTCAGATCACACAGGTGACAGTGAGTATGGGGTCCCTTCAGATCACACAGGTGATGGATGTGAGTATGGGGTCCCTTTAGATCACACAGGTGACAGTGAGTATGGGGTCTCTTCAGATCACACAGGTGACAGTGAGTATGGGGTCCCTTCAGATCACACAGGTGATGGATGTGAGTATGGGGTCCCTTTAGATGGCACAGATGACAGACAGTGAGTGTGCAATCCCTTTAACAAGCCACAGGGATGGTTGCAGAAGTGAGACAGGGCCATATTTGATGATCTTCAGTAGCCGAGGACACAAGGAAGGGAGTCTTTCCAATCCAACAGCAGAGGCTTTTAAAGTCACTGCCAGTGCTCTGTGCCACAAGGATCTCAAAATACCTAATGTGCATAATTAAGATTTATTAACTAAGCTGAATATGATTCAAGATTGCACAAATTAACTTACCTCAACATAGGAGATTGGAAATATTCCTATTTTATCTGCCAGCATCCCCTCAGCCCAGTTTTCATCCACTCTGCGGATCACCGTCAGTACGTCATCCTGAAGAAGCAACAAATCATGAGCCTCTCTTGATCACATTAAATTTACCACCCAATTAGCATCCTAAGTAAAGGGACTGGAGTTCTAATAGTAGATGAGCTACAATTCTGTAAAGTGTCTTTAGTACACGAAACACAATATTTTCACAAAGGAAACAGGACCGCCAGTCAATCTGATATCTTCTAAATTTTGTTATTACACTCACTGCAGAGGTGGTGGGAACAAGCAATGGTCGCGTGTGGATCTCACAGGACACCATGGGTGAGGTGGCTTTTTCCTACCATGAGTCCTAGTGAGCAAGTGCCTGCATCAACAGGGACACCTCGCCGAACCCTAAGGTCCTCATAGACATCTGTAAAACCACAAACTTCTACCAAGAGGCCAGACACTGGCTTTTAGAGCAGCAAATTGCAAAGGCGGTCTCCCTAGCATCTTGGACATCTGTCTACATTGGTCTCAGACATTTCTCGCTATGTTTGATAGCGCAGAAAACGCTCACTGAAATACACAGTCTATTGCTTCACGTCACAAAAGCACAGTTTCTGCTTGAAAGTTGAAACCACCTCATTAATTCAGTAAATATATTCCTGCGTGCTTTTAAGCAAGGAAATTTACACATAAAGTAAGAAGTAATGATGTTTTATTTGCTCTTTGGAATCGCACTTCGGCATCCTTGGATGGCACACACATGCCCCCCCCCCTAAAGTGATTCAGAAATCAACTGACTCTAACCAGGAAAACGAGGCTACAAAAAACAACACTGGCCCAAATCATCCTTCGTAGAAGTCGTCACACAAAATTACTTTCCTAGTGGCCTGCAGCCTGCTTCCTGGTATCTTTAGACGCACAGCGACAGAGTTCACACAAACTATTTTCTTTTTCTGCAAGATGAAACGCCAGCCCTATCCCAGGTGTGAGGGAATAAACAGAAAAGCTGAGAGCACCCCCTGGATACTTCACCTTTGCGAAGGGAAGGCAATCTTTGTCAGCCTCCTTGTCTTTCACTTCGAAGTCGTAAAGTGCCTTGCACTGAGGCGGGGGCTGAGGTAAAGGTTTGATGATCTGCACGAAGTTGGTGGGGAAAAAGCCGTGGACCCCATTGACTTCCCCATGGTACCAATTTTCATCCACTTGTCTTCGCAAAATGATGATGTCACCTTTGCTGAACTTAAGGTCTCCAGGCTCTTTTCCTTCGTAGTTATATAATGCTTTGGCACATGGTAACTGAGGTATACCCTTAAAGAAAGAGAGGGATTTCAGTGAAATAACAGCCAGATAAAGTCTCTGAAAATATGATTGCATTCTTGTTGTTTTTAAGTCAGGATCAAATCTATCAACTTGGCCTTTAGAAGAAAATCTTACAGAAAAAACTAATTACATTTACTACAATACAAATACAAAGAGAGTGGTATCTCTGTATTATCCGCAATACAGCCTCTATGCCTAAATTTAATATAGTGAAGCTTTGGTTTTGTTTGCCTGGGATTATTATCTAAGTCTGTTTCCTGGTATGAAATTAAAAAATTCATAAAAACCAAACTTAGTTTTTATATGAATTGTTTATTCATCAAGATAGATGGATGATAAGGTTGGAGAAGAAAAATTTAAACCAAAGCCTAATTTATCAACTTCATAACTTCTCCTAAGCAGATTAGATTTTGGGCATTTTTCTCATGTGTCTTTTAATGTGGGCATCAAATCTTAATCTTGTTATGAACTCAGTATGTATTTAGTAAGACTCCTTTCTATGGCCAAGTATAGAATATAGCAGTTAATATGGCCCCAGAGCCCGAGCGAACTAGTTAGCACTACAATTAGCTCTACTCGATACAGCCTAAAGTCACCTGACAAAGTCTCTGCTGAGCCCTTATCTTTATGAGATTGCTCTGTGGGTATCATAGGTGAATGTCTTGACTGTTAAAAGTTTGTTTTTGAGGTACTGTCCTGATTGTTAAGGATCTGTCTGTGTGGGGCTGTCTTGATTGTTAAGGGTTGGTCTGTGTGGGGCTGTCCTGATTATTAAGGGTTTGTCTGTGTGGGGTTGTCTTGATTGTTAAGGGTTGGTTGTATAGGATTTTTTGTTGATTGTTAATTGACATAAGAGGGTCCAGTCCACTATGGGCAGCACAATTTCATGAACACACATTCCTGAGCTGTATAAGAAAGGTAGCCAAGGAAGATCCTGTAAGTCAGCCATCAGTTTTTTTCCATGGTTTCTATTTCAAATTCTCTTTGACTATTACCCAGGGTATACGTCAAATAAATCCTTTACTTGTTGTTTTTGACCAGAAAGTTATCACAGCAACAGAAAGGAATATAGAACACTGGCCTCTCAAGCTTTATAATCTACAAGTTTTCAGACACGGTCTTTCACAACTTAAGATATTCAACTTGTTCTTCCTGGCTAAATAGCACTGTGAGGCTGAAAATCACAGAAATGAGATTTTAAATATTGCAATCTGTTTTTTTAAAGGGAAGTTAAAAAATGAGTGCACTTCCAAGACCATTTAATCATCTAATGAATTCACCATGACACTTCCCAATGGCTCGTGGTGCCCATCCGTGAACATTAGTCAGCACTTTAAGACGCCTGGCCTCCCTAGAGCACTGTTGCCTGTCACTGATGCAGAGGATAAATGTTGAATCAAATACATCTCTAATAATTCACAGAATTAGATTATGACCTTCTGCTCCTCGTATGTTCATCCAAGTACCCATCCACGTGGAACACACTCATCAAGCTTTTACTTTTTCACCGGGCAATGTGCTACTGCCAAAGACTTTAAAAGGAATAATGCATAATTCTCCTCCTTGAAGGACAAAGCAGGTGAAGTCATGATAATCCAGTGGTGTGAGTTCAATGATGGAAGCATCCATTGACAATGGGGAGAGAGAACTTGGGACTCAGCAGATGGGAAAAATGAAATATTTCCCCAAGGCTTCATGGAAACCTAAGGGGTTGGCTAAACAAAGTTGGGTTAAGGGGGTTAAAAAACGAAATGGGAGCATTCCACCGAGAGGGAATAGTACTAGCAAGGATGACCAGAAAGACACAGGCACGGGAAGAGCACTAGCAACATAAGGTTCAAGACAGGCCAGTGGTACCAAGTTTACAATGGATCTTGAACAACACTCTTAACAGTCTTGGATCAATAGCTCCCTTTAAGCAACACTCAAGGGTTTGAAGCCCAGATGGATATGTCACACTGTGGTGCAGGCAGATGAGGCTAGCAGAAAAAAAAATAGAAAATGGGGGAGCTGTGCAATGGCTGATTTTTTTAAAAGTTTAATCTTTCCAAGAAAGTAAAGGAGTATTTGGGTTTGTGTTCTCCACACTCAACTCATATATACAAAGATCAACCTTTAACACTCTTGATGGGAACAAAGTTTTAGAATAGTTTCCAATCATTAGATTGTTTTATAACCAGCCTACCCAAACCTCTTTGCTAAATATTTCTGCTGGAATTAAGGCAAATAGTAATTCTTTCTCTCAAGATATCATTCAGTCGTCACTGATCCATGTGATGCCAAGTAAAATGACTCTGAATATCAGTATCCTTGGAAGACATGAGTTGAGCCTTCTAGAAACACTGATGTTCCCCTGTGCTCTTCTGAATTCTGCCTTAAGATATAGCTTCTAATGGTGTAACTCTTGTTGTTTGACCTTGATATGACCTTGCAACTACGTCTGCTTCTGTGCCCTCTGGTCCCTCCCACGTGGTCTTCGCAATGCGATGAACTGATTATATTCCCCAATTTTGGGGAAGGTAGAATTCAAGTCTTTGTCTATCCTCACTCCATTCTTTGCTGTAGTAAGTATTTCTCAAAGCCTGGCTACCACAGCTTAGCAAAACTTCCGAAAGTCAGTTTGAGGAAATAAATGTGAAACAGCACAGCAATAAGTGTTGCTGGGGAGGGGGACAGAAAGGCCTGAGAAGGGCATGACAAGGGACGGAGCTAACTCTTGCATCTGACGAGACTGTGAAAGGCCATGGGGGATAGAAACAGGCTCATCAGTGTAGCTGCTTGTTGGCTGTGTGACCTTGGGCAGGTCAGCTTCCCTGTACCCTGACTGTGTCATCTGGAATTGTGGTGAGGATCTGGTGAGCTTATGCATTTAAATTTCATAAAATAGTCTAGAAGGGAGTAAATGCTTCACTTGTGAACTATCATCATCATCATCATCATCGATCAATGTGGAAAGCCTGATCACCAGTGAAATGGGGCGCTTGACAATGCATTTGTTTTCATGTAGCTGAACCCTTTTCCTTTTGGATAGATTCACACAGCAATTACAATATATGTATGTGTGTATGTATATATAGACACCCACATGTATATATATACACACATACACACACACACACATATATATATACACATACAAACATACATATATACATATATTTGTGTTTTTCTCTACAATGATGCAAAGAATTTCCTCCTAGGAAGTGCTCAAGAATTTTGAAATGTGCATTTCTGAAGCACACATTTGTTTTCTGAGACAAGTCCATTCATCTTCTGGTTGCACAAAAGAAATTACAGATTCACTGGCATGCACCATTTAATAGGGGATGGCATTTTAGATGTGGCTGTAGTTCATCTTGACAGGGCTCATGCAAGGCATTGGAAGCCTGCATGAATTAATTGGAAATCCTATTACAAACTCAGTGACAAATAACTCTATTCACCATTATGGCCCGTTCTCTCAATTTCAACCACACACACCTCAATTAGCTCTGTTTGGCTGGCTCTACCCCAGATTCATGCCAGACAAATCCACACACCAAGGTTCAGATGTAGCGCTCTTGGAAACCATTTTCAACTGCTCCTTGAAGAGATCTATAAAGCTTTTGTGATATGCTGATGTGGAAATGGAGGGAATTTTATTTCTTTACAGATCATTTCCACACCCCAGTGTCCTAATGGACTTATTAACTTTTCCACAAAGCAAATCTATTAAGTGCTCCTAAAATCATCAAGCATCCTTAATAGAACAAGTAGCAACGGGGAAAACCTATTATGATGATGGCGCTATGCATTACGGTTAGCCCGGGGTTACTGGCCCCCATGCAACCAAAACTTCATTAATTCACACTGACTTGCTAAATGTTGACTGCCACGGTTATTCCGGTGATCAATAACCACAGAGAAAGGGTCATAAAGCTTATGGCGACCGAGCCCACGAGCAGACATTGGCGCATCTGGTAGTATTTTTCCATGGTGCTCTTTCTTCAATTAAATTCTAAGACACTAAAAAGCCAGTTTGTGTCAAGTTTCTCAAAAGAAAGGCTTCCCACATTAAATAAAACGAATTCTCCCCTGATTTCAAATCGAGCAAAGTTCAGTGATCTTTAGAAAACTTATTCCCACACAGACTGCAGATGATTAAGGATAAACGGTTTAACGACTTGGAAGAGCAATAAAAGAACACATTTTCCTGCAACATCTGAAGGAAAAAAGGCAAAACAATTGGTTTGGCAAAAAAAAAAAAAACCCTCAGACTAGTCTTGTGGGTAAAATACATCCCGAGCCCAGGGAGGCAAGGCCCTTCCCATTCATCTCCCCCGAAAGGTCTGAGAGTCGTGTCATCACCCCGGCCTCTGCCCTCTGAGCCTTCAGCTGCTTGTCTTCTGGGCCCTCACGTCAGGCCAAGGCCCCCGAGGAACCACAGGGCTTAGATTTCACTCGGAGACTTTCACTTGGCTACACATGAAAGGGAGGGTTAGAAGGAGAGAAAGGCGGAGAGGAACCGCACTGCAGTCTAACCTGGGGTGTACGGCTGTCATTCAGGCAGCCGGCCTTATCAAAAAGCTTGCCAGCAGAGGCAGGCCAAGTATTAGAACAACTCTTTGTCAGCAGCAATTTCAATAAATGCTGAATTGTTATTTTGTTCATTAAAAAGAAAAAAAAGAGCAGGACAGTGGGTCCGCTTTACTTTGCAATTAATGTTTGCTTCTGAATTACACATTCAAGTTGTTACGGATGACATTAAACCCCTCGCACAATCTGCACATAAATATTTGTGATTAAATGCTTTCCACTCCTATTTCTGCACCATCAAGCACACTCCAGTATATCTGGCAAAATGCTACTTGATGAGCCAGCTGAGAGTCCAACAGGTAAATAAAACACTCACTGCCAATTTATTTCATAGACTCAAAATGCCAGTGCCCAGATATACATGCAAGGCGCCCTCTCTAAATTCAGGTGCCTTCATGCATTTCTTACTGCTC